AACCCCAAAGAAGTCCTAAGACATGGAGATTTTCAAAATTAAGTGGGAAGAGAAGAACTAGCAAAGTATTCTGAGAGAAAGCACAAGATACGATGCTAAAACCTCAAGTGTATAGTATCCTGGAAGCCAAGTAAAGAAAGTTTAGCAAGGGAGTGTTAGTGACAAATTATGACAAATGCTGATGATAGGCCAAGTAACATGTGGACTGAGAACAAATAAATGGAATTAGCAGTGTGGTCATCACTGATGTCCTTGGCAAACAGTTTTGGTGGAATGGTAGAGGCAAAAATCTTGCTGGAATGGACTTAAGAAAGAATGGGAAGAGAAAAATTGGAAAACAGAGAATAGAGAAAACAATTTGTGAATTTTGCTGTAAAGGAGTATAAGAAGTGGGGGATTAGCTGGTGGGGGAAGTGGAATTAAAGGATGGGGGAAAATATATGTAGGCTGCTGGGAATAATTCCATAGAGACAAAAAAAGTGAAGGATAAAGGAGAGAGGAAGGCAGAATTGCTTGAGAGATTTCCTTGAGTAAAGGAAAAAGGATGGTGTTTAACATATAACTGAAATTAGTGGTTCTAGATAGGAGAAGGTAAGAGAATGTAGAATATGTGGGTATCCATACTGGCTCATTAAGTTTATGTTTTAGTGTGAGTTTGTAGAAGTTTTCCTTTGAGTGCTTCATTTTTCTCAGTGAAGCAGGAAGTCAGATCATCAGTTGGGAGTGAGGATGGAGCAAAAGATATTATAGAAGGTTTGATGGGAATTCTTAGAAGGCCCCATGATGCACCTCCTTGGTGCTACGCTTTGTGTAATTCTCTCCGTTTGAATGTGGGTGGAAGTTGTGACTTGATTCTAATCAATAGAAGGTGGCAAAATGGTGGAATGTCACTAATGTGATTAAGTTATATTGTATGATAAAGGAGATGAGAAGTCACACATGTGATTAAGTTCAATATGTAAGATTCCATCTTGCTAGCACACACGGGAGAAAGACTTTCCCGAAACAGCCATGGTAGAAAGCGCCTACTGTACAGAGGGTCATACTGCAGGAAACTTGGGCAGCCTCTTGTCGACAGACAGGAAGAAGTAAGGGCCCTAAGTCATACAACTTCAAGGAACTGAATGCTGCCATCAACCAGGATCAACTTAAAAGCAGATTAGGCTCCAGTCAAGCTTCTAGATGAGAATGCACTCCATCCGATACTTTGATTGCAGTTTTGTGAGACCAGGAGCAGAGAACTCGGTGAAGCAGTGCCTAGACTCTTGACCTATGGAAACTACAAGATAATAAATGGGTGCTGTTTGAGTCACTGTGTAATTTGTTACACAGCAATAGAAAGCTAATACAGGGGTTGAAAGAAGAAAACATGAAATAGCCATCTAGAGAGTAAAAAAGTAAATGGTCTTATGACTATTTGAGAGAATTAAGGGTCCATTTGAGATCTATAGTCATGAATATAAAGAAAGACCAGTGGGTTTCATCTGTGTTTTCCTGTAACCATAGCAAAGGTACTATACATGAGTTATTGATTTTCATTTGTTTTATTATATTTTGATATACAATTTCAAATTTATCAGTAAACAAATAAATGTCCATTAAACATGTATTTCTGCAATCATTAGTTTTCCTTTTTCTTTTCATGAAATTTGAGGAGAATCCTAGGTGAGCTAACCACCAGGAATCTAAAATTAAGGCTGGAATTTAATTTTTGGCACCACTAAGTAATTAACAAAACCACTTTGTTGACTTTTGAAGTGACTGAAAAATTTAATATCAATAACTCAAAACTGATCAAACCCAACTCTTTGTTTTTCATATTTTGTTTTTAAGTTTTTAGAAAACACATTGCTTAAAGAATCTAATTCTATTTATTATATCTTTACATTTACTTCATATTTAAAATTTCACCTGTAAGGAATTTCCAAGTTGCACCTTGCAATATTGAACACACACACACAAAAGTGTAAGTTAGCCCTTCTAACTCTTCTTTCTCAATAGGGAAATAATAGCAAGATGATTCATCATTGGAGAAAGCACAACTTAGTATTCTCACTAGAGAAAATAACTGTAGCATAAACTATCTTAAAAAGCATGCAGAGATTGATTACAGAAACATTTTGAAGTAAAAAAAGTAGGAACACTAGTATCTTAGAATCCTTTCTTAAGATTAAAACTCAGTTTTAATAAGGTGTATACTCTTATTTACCATCTTAAAGAACACTCTTCCATATCACTTGAAAGATATTTCATAAAAAATAAATTAACATATTCTAACATTTAAGGTGAATATTACATTCTAGATACTGTACTGCTCATGAACAATGAATTTCTTTCTTCAACCCAATAAAGTGCTATAATTATCTGAATTTCACAAAAGGGGAAACTGAAGCCCAATTTACTCAGCAAGTAAGTGGCAGAACAAGGATTTGATCATAGACCATTTGGCATTAGTCTTGCCTTTTAATCACCATATTGTAAGACTTCTCAATTTTCAGGGGGAAATTATCATAGACCGACAACACTGTGGTTACAGTCTGCCTGCGTGACCTATGGAAACAGTCTGATCTGTAGAAACACGAGGGTAGAAAAAGTAAAATTTAGTAGGTACTGAAACATGTAATCATTTTTTAAAGAAAAGATTTTCAAATGTCGAAATTGCAATAAAACTTACTCTTTGGTATATTATCTTGCTTTTTACTTTTGAGTTTTCTGAATGTTAGTAGTTCCTTAGATCTTTATACCACATTAGTTTGTAACACAAACTACTTATTCTGGGAATAGAACTCAATCATAACTCATTTAGTTTTTATGGATGGAAGTAACACAAATAGTTGTCTGGATGTATTTTACATTGGTTTATAAAAATTTACAAGGAAAAAGTTTATAGTTACTTCTAACGGCAGAGGGTATCATATTAGCTGCAACACAAAAAATTTTCTTATATGTTTAAAAGTTCACTTTAATTATGAAGTTTTTAAGATTATCATATTAGAACCCATTTTTCTATCTATATACCCTTACATATCTAAGCTGAACCTAGTGAAGTTGAATCTATCGGGAAATACCGAGGGAATACAATGAATATAAACTACTAATAAAATAAGGGTGGACAATGACTAAAATTCCAGTAAATTTAAGAAATTTGTTTTGTTCTTCTTTTATATCTTGCCTTATGTTATACAAGAGATTTTACGCTTCTTTGTATAAAATCAGAAGAAACCAGACTATAAATAAAATATATTTAACAAATAAAGTGGGTATAGTTGACAGAGAACAAAACCACAACAAATTATTACTTCAAATTAGAAAAAAACTAGAATTGGTAGAGGTGGACACAGTAACATATCTGGAGGGTAAAATTATTAGTAAACTTCAATGTATAAATGAGCCTTTTAAAGAAATCATTTAATAAAAATTCACATGTTCATATAAAAAATAAAAGGAAGTATAAATCTAACTGCAAAGACAAAACTATTGAGATAGTTTTTCTTTCCAGATCCAGGGTTTTTTACTTGATACACTGAGAAAAATCATTAGTTTTATTTTTATTGCTCCTGTGCTCATCTGTCATTTTTGTTCAAAAAATAATGACAAAATACAAGAGAAACTTTAAAAAATAAAGTCAGTTGTTCCAATAGTTTTCTATATCATATAATTAAGGTTCCTGTAAGAGATAGGCATATAGAGTGCAAATGTATAAACACCTTTTTAACTTCATGCATTAATATTATAAGTTTTCTTCTCACATTTATTTCATACCATTTCCTTCAAAGAGAAGTGTTGGGTTTCATCATTAGAGATGTGTATTATTTTAACCAATTTATTGGGGCTAAAATGTGAGTGTTATAAAGTAATTTTGTCTAAAGGGAACGCTACTGCATAAAATGAAAATCAAGCTCCTACTATAGAATAATATAGCACTCCATGTTAGTTTTGCTTCCAGGTATTGTTTTAAAATTTTTCCTGAGATTGCAAAAGTATTAGATTACATGCAAAAGGCACATTTAATATAGTTAGCAAATATAGTTCAAAGTTAATAATTTATTAGTCAGCTATATGAAAAATATATTAAAAAGATAAACTTTTGTTTAATATTTGAATAATCCCATAAGGCCTTATATTAGTAAAAAAAAAAAGTAGAAATATTAAAAAAAAACATCTTTTACCTAAATGAAGCTCAACTCAGACAAAATGAAAATGTGTTTAATCATTTTAATGAATATTTTTTTCAACATTTGTCAAGTACATTATGGCTCTGAATTACATATAAATATTTTAGATTATATATTTAAATGTGCCAAAAATAACTACATTTTTAAAAAATGGCCTACAAATATTCAGTACCAAAACAATCATCAAATCAAACATTAGTTTGATATTTCTAATTTCAAAGTGTGCCACTCCACCAAAGAAAATGCTAGTATTAAATTAGAAGAAAATACCATTTCCTGAGTTGTTAAACAGCACTAAAATTATCACAAACACCAATTTTCAGTTACTTTCAGATTGCTAGAAATGTTTTTCATTGAAAGTTGAAAACTGTTTACATAGAAAGGCATGTCTGAAATAAAAAACCAACTGAAAATGCATTCACTTTTAAAGATATACCTTTGCTCAATAAGTCATATTTATACATTTATTGTTGTACATACATGATATTCTTAATTTATATACCAATAATCCTATGAAGAAACAATAATGAAGATTATAAACAGTGACTCAATAAAAAACCTGTAGAGCTCCATAAAGTCATAATTTTAAGAGTAAAATCCAAAATTCCTGAAGTCTATCTCTGAATATATTTTTGTTATCTAAAGTTAAAAATGCATATAAATTACAGGAATAATGGAGATTTCTTTCTCAGGTTATTTGGAATCTGGTCATGGTGCACATATGTGAATGAACGAATACATCCTTAACCCACCATTATCTTTTTTTCCAGTGTGCAGGCAATCACCCGTGAAAAGTATGGTGTAGATGACAGGATGATACTGTACCTGATTAGCTCTGGAGGTGGTCATGGGATCAGATGGAGAGGACTTGGTGGTAGTTGGGGAAGATGGCAATGTCTGGGAACAAAGCAGTTCAGGAGCAAATCAACCTTTAAAAGCCTTAAACTGATTATTTAAATAAAACAAAATAAAATAAAATGTAATATAACGAGAACAAAATCCTATGAACAAATATTTCTCCTATTCACTTAAATTTAATGGAATTTAAGATCAATTAAGTAATTAATGCATGTAAATATGCATGCATAAGCATGTAAAAATAAATTCATGACTTGAAATCATGATGGTGACTGATAAAAATTCACATGAGTATTAAAGGTATCCTGACCATATTCATGAATAGTAGTCTCTTTTCTTTCCCTCTTATTTGCTTGGGGGAAAAGAGATGTCAAACAAAAATTCAAGAAATTCAATGAGTAAAACTGAAAGAGTTATTTTTCTATCAATGAATACAGTCGGGGATTGGAAGAAGTGGTGAAATGAAGTTTACTTTGGCATAAAAGCATCTACCTACTTAATATGTTGAACATCACCAACAAGTTGATTCCACATGAATTTAGGGATCCATACTTAAAAGCAACTAAATTTGCAGTTCTGAGTTCTTAATATTAGGTTATCTTCTAAAAAATTAATTTTTAATAAATTTAGAGGCCATCTGAAAATGTAAACATTAACCTCATATTAATATACAAGTAACTAATCGCATTTTAACAAATTCCCATAATATTATCATTTATGTTAAAGACTAAAAATTTAATATAGATGTATTGTAGCATCATCAGCCTGTGTTGAAAATAAGCACAAAAATATTAGGAATCATATTTATTGTCCACTTCATTCCTAAACACTTATACATACTATATATAAAATATATTGTATGAGACCATCATATACTTGTTGAACAATTCATTAAAATTTTTTAAAAACTTCATCTAATAGAATAAACTTTAAGTGTAAGATGTCAAGCCTTTTTCTTTTTAAAAAGTATATTTTCACTTAGCAAATAGCACTGCTTAAGAAGTACCCTCAACAGATAATATTTCATAATAAGTGAAATGGGGTAGTTTTATAGTATAGACACAATTCTATGTGGACGTTATGTTTTAGATTAATACATATGCATCACAATTACTCAGATATGAGCAAAAGCATAACTTTAAAGGTTCGGCAGTGTTAGGAAAGCAGATAAAATTATGTAATAAAATCATATTCTTCATTTAAGATTTCAAAAGTTCTAATTTGAATAGAACAAAGCAGTTGAGCATAAAAGATAGAATAAGAAATTTACAGGCTTCTGCTTAACTTACTATTCTCCAGTAACAAAGTAAAGACTGGTTCTAATATCAAATTATGTTTTAAATAGTCCACTCCTCAAGTAATTCCTGGTTCTTTTAAGTTAAAACCTAAGATACTTTGAGGAAAACCAGACTTAATATTGAGTTATACCAAGTTTTTTTTTTTTTGTTAAATCATATTTTAAAAGGGGACATGAACTACGTTCAGAAGTAAAACCTCATAAAAGGAGATAAAACTTTATCTTCAAAACCTTTGTTTTCTGTTGTCATTCCTTGTAATAAATTCCTGTCATTTCTCCAGAGAGACTTTCGTTTTCAGTTATTAAAAATTGCTCTACTATTTTCTTTTCATGGAATACTATGCTGGAACATATATTATTGACATCATGTTACTATATGTTGAATAGTACAGATTTTACTTTCCTATCTCTGGTTACAAGTGTTATTATGGATAATTCTTGGGAGGAGTTAACATCACTTAAAATCTGTTCTGCACTTATATTGATTTTGAGGCCACTGGTGAAATAGATGTGAAATGAATCTAGAGGCCATTTCTCTCAAAAAAGGTTAGAATTTTAGTTCATTAACATACAGAAGCACTAGGTGTGCATTTGGTTCTTCTATTTCCATCAGGGTAAAATCAACCTGAAGTACCAGAGGTTCACTAGGATATCCACCTTACCCTGGCTATCAATTCTCAATAAGATGCTGAAACACTGCAAAGAGCAATGTGGAAAAAGTAGTAATAGCAAATTGCTCAGAATTTGTAGTCACTTAGATTAGTATTATCTTCCATCAATTTATTTAATACTTTTTTTGTTGCTTGGCATATACATGAAAAATTTGACATGTATTATTATTAACTGATACAATTCACAGTTACCAACACTGTCCTTAATAATTCAGATGTTATTCCTTTCTCATAAAAACAGAAAACAGTAACTTTAAACTTCAGGGAAAATATGAATGTGTTTAAATCATTAAAAGTTTCCTTATTAAATATCATTATAAGAAGTCAGAATTTAGTATTTTAAATAAACAGGTGAAAATTATAAATATTTGAGCTTCAAGAAATAAGACTGTCAAAATGTCACAATACACCATCTCTAAAAATATTTTCTTCATTTAAATGCCTAAAATAATGAGCATATAATGAAATAAACACATGATGAATTTTGTAGCTCTTATTCATCTAGATACTTTAAACACAAAAAGTCTCCTCCATTTACAAATGTAACTTATAACAATAAAAAGATTCCATGAAGTTTGCATTTTGGTTGATTTTTTAAAGTACTAGCTAGAAAATATTGTTCTAACAAATAAATGTAAATATGTTAAAATAATACCTTTAATTTAAAATGTTTATTAATTAGGTTAAAGAAACATCACTTTAATAGTGTTCTCAACAACAGAAATAGAACTGAATAATCCATAAGAAATACTTCAATGTGCAACATAAATGTACAATTTGTTTCCCTATCGTTTCATAAACAAAACGTTGACTCCTACTTACTAAATAAAGTTTAGTGGTTTCAGAGTTAAAAATCATTTAGTAAAATTTCTGTCACACATCATGAAGATGTAATTAACTGCATATCCATATAAGCAACAGCATGTTAAAATATTTCTTATAAAGAACACTTACAAAGCACACTTCTTTCTCTAATTTTTTTTTTACATTTATCAAATAGTGATTGCAAAGGACAGTCATTTTTTAGCGCAATTTTATCTTTCAAATAGAAAAGTATAACATTTTTATTTACCCAAATTGAGTAGCTGTTTAAGAATTCCGCTTTAAAGACTAAAGGCTGAATTATGTATTGCAGAAAATTTTAAAGTGTTTTACAATTTCAAAATAGTGGATCCTTTGAAATAGTTTTCAACTATTCATGATTTAACAATAGACATTTAGTTAAATGTAGATTTAACTAGGCTTCTGGGAATAAGAACTTAAAAAGTGACTACAAATTGTAAAATGCATTCTTGTTAACAAGTGACAGTTTTGCTGGACCAGAAAATATTACTATAAATGAACTCTGTAATATATGCAGCTTACCTCCAAGCAAATCTACAGTAACAGACTGTCAAGAATCTCTGATATTTATAGTAAATTGAGAACAGCAATGAACAACAAATCTCAATTGTAATTCGAAACGTATTACTAGCTAAGTAATATTACTCAAGTAATCACCTTACACCTGTGTTTCGAGTTCTGTTAAATAAATCTGTATAGCGCTCTATAAAAAAGGATAAAGTATGTGAATATATAATTGTCACCTCTGGCTTTTCATCATGACAAGTTTTTTTCCTCCCTTCTTCCAATGTCTGAACTATCTGGAACTGCTCAGGCCTAATATAAACTCATAGTGTCAAATTTACACTGGTCTTTCAGAATTTATTCCTATTCCTTATCTTACTTTCCTCATAAGTTATTCTATACCTTTATCCTTCTCTTCAATCATTCAGTCCCATGTATTTTACTTATCTTTCAACTGACAGTCTGTTACTTGAAAAATATCATGATTTTCCAGAATAAAATTCCTTATTTACTACAACTGATTACATTTGAACTTTTACCATTTTCCAAACCATCTTTTATTCTGTCTTCCTATTCTTTTCATTATAGACAAAACTGTGGTCTACTCAGTCCTCCTCCCCTTCGTAGGTTACTACCTTAACACCCTCAATATTAACGTTCCCCCACTGCTGAGTCATCTTGTCCTCTAGGTAATCTCATCTCCAATTTCTCTGCCTTTTCAAGCTCTTGTTTATTCTTTAACATAAGCCATTCCCTCTTGAGTAGAGAGAGGGGTTATATGAGCCTCACTTACCTAACTTGTACTTTACTCCTTTATATCCCCCAAATTTCAAATCAGCATTTCTACCTCCACACCATTTTTTTTCTCTTTATCTAACTAGCCTCTATCCTTTTAGGAAATAATATTAGTAGGAAATAATGACTTTTTTCTCACCATGTGATTAAAACAAACTTTTAAATCTCCAATAATCTTCTATTAAAAATATTCTTTTATTTTTCTCTGGGCATTGGATCCTTTTTAGCATCTTTCCTTGTACTTTCCTTCCTTATTTTATCATAAGGAGTATTAATGATTTCCCTTTTATCTTTATGATTAATAAAGAGTACTTACTAGGAACCAGGTATAGTTCTATTCAGTTAATACAATATCCGTAAGAAACAGATTACAACTACTAGCCCCATGTTATGAGTAAAGAAGTTGAGGTACAGAGAAGCAAAACAACTCACCCAAAGATACATAGTTGGTAAATTAAAGAGCCAGGATTTGAACCTGAGCACTCCTGCTCCAGCTCTATGCCCTTCCCACTACATTATAATGCATCTGACTTACTTTTTCCCATAAGTGTTTCTTTATCTCATTTTTTGCTCCTTTTTTTCACTACTACAATAAAGATGGCAAGTGAAATTAATTACCTCTGATACAATTAAGAATCTATATCTTCAGTTTTACATTCTCACCTGTTTCTATAAAAGACAACTTCAAGACAAAAGCATACTACTTACAACTTACTCAATTTGTCTGCAACAGACATAAAAAAGTATTTCAAACAGTCACCTAACTAAAATTCACTTACTGCTTTCTAGGCTTTACCATTCTGCTAGGCTTAAAACTACATATAATCATTTTTTATTCTTTTCTTACCATTTTGGAACTAGAACAAATCATTCTCAAAGCCTCACAGACTTTACTTTGAAATATCTTTTAACTTCTGCATTTACCTCAG